TAGATCACAATGGTAAATTAAATATTTAGAATTATAGAAGTTAATGGTTTCTAAATAGTACACAATTGAGTGTAAATTTGTGAGAATGATATAAATCCAATAGGAAATATAGAAAATAACAATTTAAAAATATTTATATTAGACATTTTAACAATATATTAATCATACTCCCTTATTTAAAAGTGCTATTGGCATATGGCATCTGGTATCTTTTATTCCATATTTAGAATATGATTTGTGAATATACTTATAATCTAACAGTTGAAATTCAAAACCTTCAAATAGATGCCATAGATCACAGCAAAAGGCTTTCATCATGTGATAACACCAGAATGTGATGAAAAAAAATTGTTTTTTTGGCAAATGAAGTCTCATCAGTGTTTGAAGTATTCGCTTTTTCTTGTTCTCAAATATTTCCATGGCTATTGGGTGCCTCGTTGGCTTAAAAAAAGATATGAAACATACTACCAAAGAAAAAACTTGAAGAACAGTATACTACAGTTCCATTCATGTAAAGGGCCACTGTAAAAGAGGTGCCATTCTTACAGGTGGTCAAGCCACTCAAGAGTCACAACAAGAACAAGTTGATACATTTCAACATGAAAAGGTCTGGATGCATAATGTCATTCAACATCGTTGATGTCCAAGGAACAGAGATCAGAATTGTCAATTCTGATGATTGTCCAGTGGCTTTGTCTGATAAGATTGTCCAGGGCACTGTGTATTCATTTTCTGGTTGTGGTGGAATACAACATTCTAATCAGGCATACACACCATTTGAAGAAACCTGGGAGATTCAAGCTAACAAAGGTATGGAGTTTACTGCACTGGAAGAGCATGCGACATATGTATGTGCATAAGTAAAATAAATATTATGTGGATATACTTTATTTATGTGCATGCTCTTAAAATAGTTACATATGATTTGTCTCACAGTTATGAGAAACTTGCAAGAGAAAACGACTTTCACTATATATTCATTTATCAAAAAATGCAATCATAAATACCCATTCACCTAACATACATCAACTTTATTTGATGATTATCCACAGCAAGCTAATACTGGTTATGGAAGCTTAACAGGGTTAAAAAATGGTAGCACATCATTCCCAAAGTAGATGAAATGGATGAATTCATTTTTTGACAATTACGAAATCAACTACCTGTCTCCTGAGGCAACTTTGTGGGCCTAGAGTTACTCTCTTCCTGTTGGTGGGATTGGCACTCAGTAGACATGTGTTTTAATTCACATGATGTAACAGAAAAAAGGCACCATTGAATAAGACTTTTCTTTTGAAGAAACTTGCTTTCTGTGAGCAATCAAATTTTCCTATTGCTACTGACTGGGCCTTTTTATGTCTTTTTTCTTTATAGTAAACTTAAGCACAAGCAACTCTTTCTCAAATGCATCGACAGTATCAGTCCAGGACCACCAGTGGGACTAAATGTGCACTCGCAAAAGAGCCAAAGATTAAATGCAAACCAAAAGACTCTTCCATATTAGAGAGCCTAAGCGAGTTCTAAGAAATTGTTCCCTCTATAAGATAATGAAAATTCTGATTTATTAATTCATAAAACATCTAACTATCCCAGTGGAGCTAGCTTCCCTACTATTTTAAAGGAAAGAGCCCCTTAATCTAGGTGTCACATATTCTTCCAAGATTATACGATCTAACAGCTGATATTTGAATGTAAAATGTCTGACATTTGGGATCATAAATACATTTTAATTGTGTTTTTTAGGGTGGGAGAGAGGGCTAACGAGAGTGAGGAGAAGCAGCAGGATGCTGAGCAACAAGCAGACAAATCTATGGGCTATTGCAAGGTTCTCCTCCCTGTGTGGGACTATGTGCAGATTTTCTTTCAGTGTACTTTGGCTATAAATTATATTTTCTTCACTGAATGATGGCACTTCATTTTATTTCAGTTTTGGCCCAAATCCATTGCATTTGAATTACATTTGAATTATAGAAGAACATGTTATGGTAAGAAAATGGTGCTGCATAGTGCTAGATCAAAGCTTCACATCTTATTTTGGAAGAGGTCAGTTGTAAAGCATTTTCTAACATATTTTGCAGTTTGTAGGGTGTTATGATCCGGTGTAAAAAGACAGAGATCTAGTCGCCCTAGACTACGCTATGCCACCTCTTGAGGTTCCTCACCACCCAACCACCCCCGAGCTACATCAAAAGCTCCACTGTGCCACTGCTCTACTATAAACCCTAGGGTAGGTTAAGTCCCTCACCCTAATATGCCTTAATATATCCTTGAGCCTCCCTTTGACCGACATTAATCATGTGGTCAAAGTTGGCGCCTAACAATTCTTCCCCCCCAACAAAGTCCTTGTCCCAAGGACGAGTTGTACTGGTGATCACCCTTTCTGGGGAACCCTGCTCAAGCTCCTGGTCCATCTTCCACATCCGTATACATCAAGGAGCCATTGGGCCCATCACTCCGAGATAGTACACCTTTCAACTGGCTGACATAAAATACCAGATGAATTTTCACCCCAACTAGCAGCCGCACCCGATAAGCTGCTTTACCAATATGCTCCAGCACTTCATATGGACCAGCATATCAATAGGAAAGTTTATCACTCTTCCTTGTTCATAAATGCACCAAGGTGTTCCACCACTCATTTGACGGAAAAATCATTTGCACAAAGACGAGATCACCCACCTTATATTCCCGGAATTGGTGATGCTCATTGGCAAACTTCTCTGCTCTATCCTGAGTTGCATGCAAATTCCATTTGCACACCATCAGAATCTCATCAAGTTCTGTGGCCAGATTAGTCACCTCGGAATCAAGCTTATCTTGAACGTCCTTACTCAAATGCAATCCCAACTCCACCGTTGTTCGAGGATGCCTTCTAAACATGGCAAAGTAAGAACTTAACTTGGTTCCACTATGTTGGCTATTGCTGTAAGCAAATTGCACCAACGGCCATTGTCCTTGCCTTTGACCAATGCTACAACATAGCATATCCTCCACCACCTGATTCACATGCTCGGTTTACCCATCCATCTGAGGATGATCTCCACTCGAGAGTTTCAAAGTCACTTGCATAGCCTTTGCAAAGCTTTTCCAAAATCCACTGGTGAACTTTGAATCTCGATCACTAATAATGTCCTTCGGCAAACTAAAATTAGGAAAAACCTTCTCCAAGTAAACTGCAGCCAAGTCTGAGGCAGTGACAATATTCCAAAGAGCCAACAACCGCATATACTTCGTCAACTGATTCACTATGACCCATACTTGCTCCTTTTGCCTCTATATTCATGGCAAACAAGTGATGAAGTCCATAGAGATACTACACCAACGACTCTAAGGAATAAGTAAAGGTTGCAAAAGTCCCCCCAGCTTCTCCGGTGGCACCTTAACCCACTGACAAAGCTCACATGATTTACAATACTTGAGGTTAATGCATCCACTCATGGCAAATATACACGGCCATTGTAATAGAGAATCCCATCCACCAATGAAGGGGTTTTTATCTGGTCTCACAAAGAGGCCACCTCAACATCCTGAGCCTGAGCATGCTCAACCAACTGCCCAAACTCGCTGACCACCTTTCTCAAATGATGACAAAATCGTGTTTGTAACGTCGTCACATGACAAACACGAGATAAAACATCTGCAACCACATTTGATTTTCCTGGATAATGCTCAATAGGAAACTCTTCAAACTCCATGAGTTTAACCATCCAACGAGCTTGCCTAGTGTTCAACTCCTTCTGTGTGAAAAGATACACAAGTGGTTTGTGATCTATCAACACCACGAACGCTGCACCATAAAGATAGTGCCGCCACGTCCGCAAAGCATGAACAATAAAGAGTAACTCTTACTCATATGTGGAATAGCGTTGCTCCATGGAATTCAAAGTCCGACTCTCATATGCAATAACTGCGGACAATCAATCTTGCAGTGTCCAAATTCGCCGCAATGATGACAACCCTATCTATAATTCTTCACAAAGAACTTCTGCTTCTTGGACCCCTTTGCATCCAAAGTAGTCACCACTGACTTCAATTTGTGATGCTTGTTCCCATCCTTGTGTCCACGGCGATCATCACAACAATTCTCGACAGAAGGACTCCGCGAACGTTTGCGAAACTTGTGCTTGTCATTGTCAAGTCGACGAGCCGTATCAAAGAGCTCCTTCAAACTCTTTGTAGGCTGAGAATGACACAAGTGTTGCCACATGCTCTCACTATGTAAGCCATCAATGAAGTAGGACTTGTTCTGATCTGGATCCTTCGTTGGAACACAACTAATCAAGCGAGTAAGCTTCTCAATATAGTCCCCGAGTGTCATTTTCCCTTGCTAGAAATGTTGAAGTTCTGTATAAGCATTCTCTACGTCGTAATGAAGGGCAAAACATAAATAGAAAGCAGCCTCAAACTCATCCATGGTAGACACTAGTGGTTTCTTATCCGCAACACAAGACTCTTCAAGCCAATTCCACCATCGAAGACTTGCATCATGCAAAACCATTGGAATAGCCACTAAAACCTCTGCATCTGGAGTTCCCCTGGCAGCCAAAAACTTCTTCACATTGGTTAGCCAAGTGAGACACTCGTCCACACCACCATCACCGGAAAAGGTTAGAATCTTGAGTCGATTTACCAAAGAAGGCTTACTTGGAGCGCTACCCCGTCCAGCCTCAAGTGACTCAACACGCCCACGCATGGTATCTATCATGCCATGCATCTCGTCTTGCATCTCTTGCTAATTTTGATTAAGGGCTTGCAGCTTGTGAACCACATCTTGAATGGTCTAAATTTTCGTAGCTTCGTTGGCACCATTGTCGGCACCACCATCGACAATAGAATTCTAGCATTTAGCTTGGTCGGCTATCGCAACCAACTGCTCCGATACCAATGTTATAATCCAGCACAAAAAGACAGAGATCTAGTCACCCTAGACTATGCTATGCCAGCTCTTGAGGTTCCTCATCACCCAACCACCCCCAAGCTACCTCAAAAGCTCCACTGCGCTACCGCTCCACTGTGAGCCCTAGGTAGGTTAAATCCCTCACCCTAACATGCCTTAATATATCCTTGAGCCTCCCTTTGACGTGGTCAAAGTTGGCGCCTAACATAGGGACTCTGGGCAGATTCTGATACCAGCAATCAACAGAGTTCTGTCTTACGTCACTCATATAGTGCAAAGCCATACTGCAGCGTGGCAGCAAGGGTGGTCGGAATTAAGAGTTTTTTAAATTTACCAGTAAGCAATTCCTTTCATTGCTTCTCTTGCACGGAGATCCCTCTGACATGTGCCTTCAAACGCCACGTCCAGTGAGATGGCATACTTGTGGATCCCCTCCAGATTCACAAATACCCACTTGAAGGCCATGAGAGAACAAACCTTGGGAGTGCATCAATAAAGGAACAATATGGCACATCTATATGTGAAGTCATTCAAGCTCAACTACAATGCAGCAAGGAATGAACTAGCAAAAATTATGTGTAGATATGACAATGGCAACTTACAAAACTACTAAGACCAGGGTCGTGTAGGTCTTGATGGCTTTCCTGTCAGCACTTGAATCTTGTGGTCTTTGAGCCTCACAAGCTGCTCCAGCTTCATAACTTTGGCTTCTAACAACTGCTTGTAGTATTTCATCATTCTGTTACTGTACAATCTTAGTTACCTCGATTGTCTCCCGGAGCTCTCGGAGTTGAATATCCTTTTGGGATTCATTCATTCCATCCTTTTCCTGTCTCTCTGGAGAATCTGTCCTTTTCGGACTCTGTACAACTGAACCAGATCAAGAACAGAACCAGTACAAAGTCGTCTGTACACTTACACCAGAAAGTCCTCTTTCATGACTTCTGCAAGAAAACATGTATAACAATAAAAAGAAAGACGAAAATCTCATACCTGCTCAGCGGTCTAAACATTCTAGGGGGCGACCTTTTCATGGGGTAGTGGCCTACAAAATCTAGTTTGAGTTTTGACTAGAGCTGCCGAAAGCAATTTTTCTGTGTGATTACTTATTTGACCATTTCTCCATCATACCATGACCATTATGCTCGTGCTTCATTGACTCTGTTTTAATCGGCCTGTACTTGGCAATCTGCCAGAATATGACAATTTCTAAACCGAATTTGGAGCGGAAGACATTTACCTTATATTTCAAAAGCTTAAGTATTCTTTCGATCATTTGGTTTTCAGCATTTGCCACTGCCTCGACATCTTCCTTGGTTAAGGAAAAGTTTAAACGTCTAAAACCCTTGTCTGCAGCACACACAAAATAAATGTGCATAACCAGAAAGTTGCTTACTGTTGAGAGTGTTCCAGTTGTAAATCTTCTGAGCAAGACTGTTGGCAGCACTGTAGTTGTGAATATCCACAAGCCGTGGGCAATAATGTGCTACAACTTCTGCCGCTAGTACTGGCAGAAAACATGGTTTTAATCCAACACGGAATGACAACAAACAGTACCTCCATCACTGAAATCCCGAGCGATGTTTCTCTTCGGCCTTGACAACGGAATCCCATCAACCTGCAAACGCTCAGCACTGAGCTGATCTATCAGATCAGCATCAACTACGAACCCAAGAATAGAGTCCAGGAAGCTCTTCAGGTGCCACATCCATGACCTAAATAGATATGAAGTTTCATTTGCTTGTAAAGGAAAAAGAATGTTTTAAACCAGACCCTAACTTAAAAAATTAGTCGAAATAAAAGCATCAGGCGTCACATATTCTTCTGTTAGAATATTATTTAGGAATATTATTTATCACTAGATTATGTATTAATATAAATTTATTAATTAAATAAAAGTAATTTACAAAACAAAATAGTATTTTAAGTTATGAAATATGTCATTTTCTATAGTAACTACTTTATCTACTTTTACTTTAAAACATGGTTTTTATTAGGTTTACCATATACCATTTTTATACAATAAAAGTAACTATCTGTAATTTTAATATTATAGTATCAAATTAATTACATACTCTTTTCTCATATACAGTTTAAGAGAAGGTGGTTTCTCCTAAACCACAATTCACATAATTTTGGTAACTTTTAAAGTTTCTATCTAAGCTCTCAAATCTTAAATACCTTTACTCCAACTTCATCTTTAAGCCTTCATCTCTTGAGTAAATATATCACTATATATCTCCACTACATACAATTGCCTAATTTATTAACATATAACTAAGCATATACAGAAAAATAATGTTAGAAAATAGAAACTAAATCATATATACCAAAACATTGTCCAGGAATATATAAGTCAAAATGCCTGTTCTGGTTTTAGTGCATACTTTATCCTTTGGAGATGCATCCTATCATTCAAATATTCCTGCGCAAAGTTCACAAAAGAGCTACTGAAGAAACATCAGAAAGAAAAAGGACTTACTAACCACGTCCAAATGAAGAGGTTTGTGCACGGGCTATAGCCAGAAAAACCTTCACCATAGTCAACTGATTTTCTACACACGCAATAAAAATTAGGGCAAAATATCCAAAAATGCAGGGTCTCTACCTCATCTAGGCACAAGGATCGAGCAAAATTTACTTGATGCGAAGGTCTTCTCCCCAGAGACATCTGCCACTGTGATCATATTTTCACTGCATATTGCCACAATTCTCAATATATTGGCATTCACTCGATGTAGATTCAATTGCTTACCGGATTGGCACTGGAGCCTCCACATCTGCTCACAATCAAATAGAGCGAGAAATATCACGTAACCTTGTTTATAAACCAACGATTGGTGACTTTCAAATAACAAAGAGTGTTTATTGTTTGTTCGTCAAATCCTTTATGGTCTGCCAAGTGCTGCAGATGCAACCACGACAATCGCTAGGTCGACTCCAAATCCAGCACCAAGTGCAGCTCGTGCTGCGGTGGTGCCATCCCACATTTTCCATGAACAAAACCAATCCTTTTCAGAAAACCATAACAAAGAGGCTACAAACATCGAAAGTGGCTTCTTCTTTCATCAGCAAGATGCAATGCACAAGAGCTCGTAAGTTCTTCACGCCTTCAACTGGAAGGATCTCATTCCTAGTAATACAGCCCGACTTGTTGCTGGAAAATGACAATGAGCAAAAAGATAATTCCAGTGTTAGTTACTATATTGCAGCCTTTTTTTCTCCTGCTTACTGCTTACAGGATCTTGTCGACCTTACTTGCTGAACTCAACTATTTCCCCCCCTGGCCCCATCACAGCCTTTGATGTCTTTGAACTTTTTCGTATTCTGGTGTTTAAGTCAAAGTTTGTACCATGCAAAGAAAAGGCCTCTGGAATTGTCCCTATTAAATTCTCCACGCCCAAAGAAGTCTACTCCAAACAAGGCGGTAATGAGTTCCTTGTTAGATCTGAATAAAAGATAGTTAATTCTTACCAAGAAAGCAAGAGCTCTGTTTGGTGGACATTCTCCCACACCAGTTCTTGTGCAGAGTCGAGGGTGTTAGTGCACATCCGAGAATAAATTTTTGCGCAAGGATGAAATCCTGGATGAGTGGTGAGCCTTCATTTCAGCTGCTACCAATCAAAAGGTTGTATCGATGCTCATGCATGTATGTCCAGTTTGGAAATCCAAAACCTACCTTGTGGCTCCAGGAGCTTAAGCCACTTTACCACTAGCTCCGTATGGCTAGTTGAGTTTTGCCAGTCCGGTCTTTGCCAAAGACTTTGGTGGCTTCTATCCTTTCTTTACCACCTGTTACATATGGCACAAAAGAAGAAATCCATAGTGATATGAATCACGGATTTTCACTTATACCAAATCTCCATAAAAGCTCATGTTGCATTGGCCTTAATTGGAGGCCTCATGGCAACTTCAAGCAACTCAAAGAATGAAGTGAATGTTTTGTACACTTCCAGCATTAAGAAGTTAAGCCTTGGAGAACTTTGAAAGATTGCTGATGTGATGCCACTTAACTATGATTCATTTCTGGACCATTGCCAACCCTAGGCCAGGGATTTTCTTTGGTGCCATTAATTATGTAAATAGATAAGGAGCATCTAGTAAGCAGTTTTAGTGAAATTTCTCTCGCTAACCTGGAGCTCGGGCAAAGTCCTAAAGCTTTTCTCCATAAAAGCTCATGTTGCATTGGCCTTAATTGGAGGCCTCATGGCAACTTCAAGCAACTCAAAGAATGAAGTGAATATTTTGTACACTTCCAGCATTAAGAAGTTAAGCCTTGGAGAACTTTGAAAGATTGCTGATGTGATGCCACTTAACTATGATTCATTTCTGGACCATTGCCAACCCTAGGCCAGGGATTTTCTTTGGTGCCATTAATTATGTAAATAGATAAGGAGCATCTAGTAAGCAGTTTTAGTGAAATTTCTCTCGCTAACCTGGAGCTCGGGCAATGTCCTAAACCAAGACACAAAGTCCTTTTGTCCTAAATTTGCCTGCAATGACACAATCTAAGTCACTCTGGCTGGGCTCTCGAGACTTTCAAAAAAGCTTGTCCACCCCTCTCAAGCTTAAAGCTTAATCTATGCACTCTGGTAAAACTTCCCAATCTGGAAAAACCAAGTCATTGAAGTTTACAAATTGGAGATTTAAGCAAGCTTACAATAGTGTATGATCAATCCCGTGCTCAACTTGCCAGGCTTAAAGAACGTGTCAAGGACAAAACCACAGAAATGAACAGAGAGAAGGATAAAAAAAGAAAAGATATGAAGGAAATACTTCCGAGACAGCTTTGTGTTGCCAGACTCATGAGATTCACTTCCAATCCAATGCTCTTGATATCTTTGGAGCTTTTGGTTGCTGGTGGGAATCTTGTTCAAAAACTGGAAGAGCTTAAGCAGCCACTGCTAGAGAAAAATAGATGTCCAAGAATTCATAGCTTCATTAACGTACTTGAAGGACGCAGCAGGCTGGCTGCTTAAAGTGCTGAGGCACTCCTCTAATTTCGTGGTGATGATCCAAAGCAAGTGTGGTCTTGAAACTCATGAATGTAGTTACTGCAATCAAAGCCAAAGAAGAAGAATATGAATTATCTTGAGAAAGGATTTGCAAATCTCACATAACTTGTAGCCTATGCCGGACAGGGAGTACCAACATCAAGGCCAAAGAGATGCATGAATGCCACAAAAGAGAGAAAAGGATTTGCAAATTTGCTTACATACCAGCACAAGTTGCGATAGCCAAAAGCATTGGTCAAAAGTATCGTCTGAGCCCAGCTTGGTTGCTTCTGAAAGGCACTGAAAAGGAGAATAAACCAGGTGACTGATAATTGAATCGGGCTCACCCTAAAAAATTTAAACGTCTAAGGAAAGGTTTCAACCCTTCACGTGTTTTAATTTAGGCAGTTGTTTGAAAGTAACCAAATAGTAACCGTCCAATTAAGTAAATAATATTCTAAAAAAGGAATATGACAAATAGATGCTACTGCAAATAGCAGATTTAGTAAAGGGAGTACTAGCTGGGATCCCAGTTCCACTGGGGTAGTTAGTATACTGAAAGAATAATAGATTATTTATTTGGTGATAATTTTTATTACATTCATGAATAATCACAAGCTTTAAACTATAGTTATATGGTGAGTGTGAACTATTAGATTACGTGCAAAAAGTTATCAGAAAGATCTTGCTTCTCTCAATTTCATTTCCACATATGTCAAATGTACTTGTTTCAGTAATAGGAACTGGTAATTTAAAAGTTGTATGTCTACCAATTAAAAGTGTACTTACTTTCAGTCCATGTCACTGCCACAGTTTTTTCCCCTGTATTTTTCAGATGCATTATAATTGTATTAAATATAAATGATTTTCCAGTGTCACCAACCACTTGTGTTCCTTTCTAGAGATTTATTCATCAATCGTTTCATACTCATTCCTTGAGCACTTCGTTCGAAGTTCCACTCTCACTCTCAACTTTCTGGGTCAGAGCTTTTGGTCCCAACTTGTTACGCTTGTTGGACTTCCATTTTGACCACTGCCATATGGCACACTTCAGCTCCACTTTCGGGCTTAGAGATTTGTGTCTCACAAGCAAGTACACTTTTAATTGGTGGACATACAAGGAAAGGGGTCATGAATAATTGTGCACCCCCTTTTCCAATCGGTTAAAAATCTTGGGATATTTGGGGATAAACGTGGGTTTGAGTAGTAGATTGGGTGACCTGCCAAAAAGTCCAAATTCATGAGCTTACACTGTGTATCTAACTTAGGTTTAAATCTAAGCTCCATACCATATTGCCTAGCATCAACTAAATAATTCTAAGCTTGAGCTTCATACCATGTTGCCTAGCCTCAACTAAATAATGGTACACCTCCTCTTGAGGTTCTCACCACTTCACTACCCTTGACCTACTTCAAAAGCTCTAATATGCCAATGTAGATTCTCACCACCTAACTACCCTTGACCTACTTCAAAAGCTCTACCACTACTATGAGCTTCTAGGGTAGGTTATGTATCCTTAACCCTAAATTCATGCCTCATGTGACCTTTGACCTATATTGACTATGTTGTTAAAACTGGCATCTAATTCGTTAAAAATAATGCCAAATTCCATTTCTCTTACTAAACTTGACATAGAAAACTCCACTGAAGCAAAATTTGAAGAAACCTTAGTCAATTATTTATCAAATAAGAAAGGTCCTTTATATGCTTAACCATA